ATATACATGTGTGCCCAAAAAATAGTTTTTTTTTCTTTAAAAGTAATCCCAATCATGAAAAAATTGTTCTTTTTAGCAGGATTTTATAAGTGAATCAGTGGAACTAGTTAACCAAATCAAACTGAATCATTTGAAACGATTCGCATCTCCAGTAAGCACTCTTATCCACAAATTAGTTACTGCTGTGACTGAACCAAACTTGGACAACTGATTAAACTACAGCAAATAAACCGAGGGATTAAATGAGAGGATCTGGCAAAACGTATGTTTACTTCATAACAGAAAGCCGTAACGGAATTTAAATACATGAATCATGCTTCAGTTGGGTTGCAAAACTTAATTGTAAGCAAAAATTTAGATCACGGTGATGATTTAACTGACTAAAAGTATGATTGCTGAATAAAAATCTTTTTTGTGTGTGTTTTTTCACTATTATTATGATAGGACAGTAGAGATTTCAGACCGAAAAGCATTAGGAATAGAGAGAGGAAAAAGATCAGCAAAGGACCTTGAGCCAGGAATCGAACTCAGGTCACCGTAAGCACTTCAGTGCGCTCTATGTAGGCATACAGTACCACTTGGCCAACATACATATTTTTGCAACACAGGCTCATTCTGAAAATGTAGTCCCGCAGACGTTTCTGGAGACCGCAAATTATGTAGCCAGAGGTACATATGGCTGCATTTCATTTTTTAAGCGGACGCTACGGGGCGATATGACACAGTTCCTTTTGAGAAAAAAAATAAAAACAAACGAGAAAACAACAGGGTGAGATTGTGATAAAATCCGAAAACAGGGTAAAAATCAGACAAGAGGTTTTCTTTTTTTGGACGGCTTTTGTAAACTGTTGGCTGGGTTTAGGGAAGTATAAGCGGGCAGGCGGGTCAATCTGTAAAATTGGTTGGGTTTAGGGAAGGAGAAGGGTGGGTCAGTTGAATGGCCGGTTACCCAGTCAATCATTCAGTCGGTCAACAGCGGCCTCTGGTGGGTTCTCGCGAGAACAGCGCGGGAGTGAACGGCACTTGAGAGAGGCATTTGAGATGCAAAAAAGCACACAGCAGCCTCTTGCGGATTCGCAAAAACGGCAAGAATACATACCTCCCCGGATGTATTTCACGGCCTCCAGAAACGTCCACGGGACAACGTTTTCAGAATGAGCCTGGGTTGTATTTTTGATATTTTGAGTCCTAATGGGGGGATTGTCATGAGAGATCAGGTTTGCGTTAAAGATCCGAACTTCCCATCACTACTGTGCATCTAATCTCAGAAAAAGCATTGCACACATATTTTGTACTTAGGGCTACTATCTTGTGGGCTGTCATATTAGTTTGAGGATGGGTAGATGGTAGATGATAGTGTTCATGTGTCCTCTGAATACATGTTTCAAAAACATATCTTTGGTTGAGTTTTTATTATACAAGGTGTATTCTGATGATTTTGAATCTTGCACCTAACAAATATACTTATTTACCAAATAAACAAATAAAAAACTAACACTGAAACTAATAACAACTAAACTAAAACTAAGCAATTTTAAAATATAGTAATTAATAAAAACTAGTAAATCTACCTCTAAAAACTAATCTAAATTTGAAAACAAAGGTCAAAACAAAATAAAACTAATAAAAAATCCAAAACTATTATAACCCTGTCTAGTGCTGCCAAAGAGAATGATGGGACGTGTAGTTTTGTTGCACAATTCTGTTGCCTCATAAAGTGACTAAATGAGTTTTCTGGCAAGCTTTTCCACTATTATTCATCATCAGAACTCCAAGTTATGCATCAGATGAGCATACGTTTTTTCTGGATAACTTTATTCTTTACTATCAGTACTTCAAAATATGCACTAGATAAATAATTTGCATACAGTATTTTTATAGTTTTATTTTAGCGTTATAGTGCTGCCACAGAAAATGATGGGAACTTTGCCTTGTAAAGCAACAAAATCAGTCTTTTCTGGGAAGCTTTTCCACTGTTCTTCATAATCAGTGTGCCAAATTGTGTACTAACAAAATTGCACCATTAACAATTTAACCTTAAATCTATTCAGTTAATACTAATTGCTTTAAAGATGTCTTTCTCCTTTAACTTGCAAATTAAATCTAAACCCATTTGATCCCAATTGTGACGGTCTTATTTTTTGGATAAAGATAAAAACAAACTGAGCAGAAAATAATTCTGACTACGATGTTAACCACTGATCACTTCTGTTGCTAAATACAGTGCTCACGATATATAAGTTCACCCCACACAAATCTATCTTTTAAATTCATATTTTTAATAGAAAGCTATACAATATTATATTTGTGCATATACATTATATTAGTTAGTACTGAAGCCAAATCTGGAGCTTGTCTAAAAAAATAGCTTATGATAACAGTCCAAAAACTCATATAGCCAAATGTATATGTTATTGAAAAATATTAAATACAAATTTAAAAAAGAGGAGAAAATCAAGAAGCAAAATTTTTTTTAAAATTTATTTGGAATATTGTAGGTTGTATTTTATTTTTTATATTTTGCTTGAATTTAATTGTATTATCTTTCAATTTTTAAATATGTTTGGTGACTAAATATTATTTTTTGTAAATGTATCTGTTTAATAAATCTGTTTTGTTTAAATGCACCAAAATACATTGCCTATAACCACTGAGAAATTGATCAAAAAAGGTGTACTCAATTATGCTGAGCACTGTATCAGACCAAATTTAAAACATACGTTTACACACCCTGATAAAGGAAGCATTAGATTTGTGTGTTGCTAAGGTTTAAGGAGTGAAATGCACACTTTTAATAATATCAGTTTGATAACAGTTTCCGTATGTTGCGATTGACATTAGGGCTGCACGATATAGGTAAAATCTGACATTGCAATGTTTTATTTTTCTGCAATAAATGTTGCTATATAGGATATTGTCATCAGATAACTTGAACAGCACTATTTGATAGTTTTCCAACAGTCTAACAGCCTTCAGGTACTGAAACTGAAAAATCACAGTGCAGAAAAATGCTTTTCTTACTTTCCTTTGTCTCATTTCAAGTCCAAATATCTAAAATAAAAAATTAAAAAAATGTATTCAAGTAAAAATACTGCTTTGTTTTTTTGACTTTTCTTCCCTTTTCAAGTTTTTACTTAAAACAAGCACAACTATCTGTCAGCGAGGCAAGCAAAACAATCTTGTTTTTGCTTTGAAATATTATTTTTCCTTTGATATTTAGACTAGAAACAAGACAATTTTTTGCATAAATCATATAAATTCTCCATAAATACATTAATTAAATACTATTCGGTACCTCTTGGTCAACTATAATTCAGACTCAACATTGTATATCTTGCGATGTGAATATTGCAGATGCACACATTGCGATATCGATGCTGAAACGATATATTTAACCCTAATACACGTGCATTTTCTGCTTATTTGCCTGGATTTCTGCTCTGTTGACTTTTGAAGTTGAAATTTCAACTCTTCAGTTTAATGAAGTGACTGGTAGAGACATTTAAGTAGTTTGAAACAATATATTGTATAAAAAAAACAATATATAGAGAAAAAAGCGTTTAAAATAGCTAAAAACTGCAAGTTTATTACTAAGTTTTTGTATTGCAATATACAACCCCAAACCCAGACAATATATCCCTTCAAACTATTATAGATATCAGTAAAAGTGACTTTTAATCACTTTTATAAATAAACTAAAAAAAACTATCATAAAATATATAAAACTGTTAATTCACAGATACATTTACAGTACTCATAATATGCTTAAAATGTGCTGAAACATTTTATAGCCATTGTATGCAACTCATAAATACAATCATTCCCAACATGTGTTAAAAAGCAAATTAAAATGATGATTCGCTCAAAAATGTAAATGCTCACCCTCAAGTGGTTCCAAACCATTATGGATTCCTTCTCTTGAACACAAAACAGGATGATTTAAAGAAACCCTCAAAACCTGGACCACTGACTTACAAAGTAAACAAAACAGACACTAAGGAAGTCAATAAAATTACAGCATTCCAGCATTCTTCAAAATATCCTCTTTTTTGTTTAACAGAAGAAAGTGATAAGTAAATAGACTCAGTTAAAATAGTTGGGTTAAAAATACCTCAACATATAACCCAACTACAATTTATTCTAGCACTTTCCCAACTATGGGTTATTTTAACCCAATGCATTGGGTTATTTTGATTAAATATATATATATATATTTTACATTCTGTTATTACTAATGCTGCTATTACTTGCACTATTATTAATTTTATAATTATGGCTGTGTAAAAAATAACATACAGTTTTTTTTTAAATGTTGAAAATGCTTTATATTCACTACATTTTAAGTTCCAGACACAGCGTTTTTATTACTTTAATATAGATCCACCACAAAGCGCACGTTTGCATCATCAATAATTAAGAGTGCAGGTGAAACGGATGGAAAAAACATGACATGGAGAGGCAATTTGATTAAAAAAAAACAACATTATTGTGTTAGAGCCTAAACGTTGTAATGCAAAAACAACATTATACACACGCATATTAATACAACTGTTCTGTGTCAGTTGTCAGTCAAAATTTTTATTAAATAAGACCCCAAAAAAGATTAAAAAAAAGTAACCCAACAAAGCACCAAATATTTATTCCAACTGGTTGAGTTATTAATAAAAAACCCAATAAAGTTCAAAATAACCCAACAAAGCACCAAATATTTATTCCAACTGGTTGAGTTATTAATAAATAACCCAATAAAGTTTAAAATAACCCAACAAAGCACCAAATATTTAACCCAACCGGTTGAGTTATTAATAAATAACCCAATAAAGTTTAAAATAACCCAACAAAGCACCAAATATTTCAACTCAAGCATTGGGTTAAATAAATAACTCAACATTTTTTAGAGTGAATGATGACAGAATCTTCATCTTTGAGTGAACTATCCCTTTAAAAGAGTAAGCGTGCCGCCGCCAGCCACCTGTGTCTGATTATGAAGTCATTCTCACCTTCTGCAGCCACTGCGTGTTGTTTTCCATGGCCGTCTCCAGATGCTGCAGCTTCTGAACGGACCACTCGCTGTCGGCCGGCGGGGAGTCTCGCTGCACCCCGTGGGTCCCGCTCATCTGCTCCTGACAGCTCTCCATCTCGGGCAGGATGAAGGTGTAGCTGCACTGTCCGTTTTGCACGCGGTGAAGCTTCCTCCGCCTTTCGCCACCACCGCCGCGTCTCCCTTGACCGTTCCCGTTTCCAGAGCTCGCCAGGTTGACCCACGCCAGCAGCAGCAGTGCCAAATGCCAACCGCTTCTGGCCAGCCTCATGACAGCAAAAACAGAGCCAAATGTCAATTCAGTAGATGGAGAAACACATGGTTGGAAGGAGATGAAGTTGCTGCGTTTCCTTCTTCGCGCTTGGTTTTCCTGAAAAAGACCTGGGGACTGAACACTGACCCTTGAGGTACCCCAAAACACACTCCCGCAATAGATAAGAAGGAGAAACTGAGACGTCTCAATGACTGTCCCAATCTGCAGGCTCTTAACACAAGAGAAAAGTAAACAGCAGAAGAGAAGTTTGCTTCCTATCCTGGAGCGGTGTGTATGTGTGTTTGTGTGTGAAATGAGTGGAGTGAGAGAGCTCTGTCCTCTTATCTGGGAGTGTGTGAAGGAGCGGGGGGAGGCTGAGGGAGGTCTATTAACACACGTTCTGTCTCTCGTCTCTTCCGCAGTGTTTCCTCACCCCCGCGGACATGCAGGAGGAGACAGAGAGAGAGAGAGAGAGAGAGAGTTTTCTTTGCATGGTCTGAAAAGTGATTGTGGGTAGGATTTTTCTTGTTAATGAACTTTAAATTCAGTCTAGATTGGTGAGATGTTGTCTTTGGTGTAATAAGCAAGGTTGTGGGCCATTTTGGAATGGATTTAGAATGCTCATCCATTCATGTTCTTTCTAGCTTAGTCCCTTTATTAATCAGGGGTGGCCACAGCGGAATGAACCGCCGACTTATCCAGCATATATTTTACGCAGTGGATGCCATTCCAGTTGCAACCCATCACTGGGAAACACCCATACACTCTTACATTCACACAAATATCCTACAGCCAATTTAGCCTATTCAATTCACCAACAGCGCATGTGTTTGGACTGTGGGGGAAACTGAAGCACACGGAGGAAACCCACACCAACACATAAAAATGCCAACTGACTTAGCCAGGGCTTGAACCAGCGACCTTCTTGATGGGAGCCGATCATGCTACCCACTGTGCCGCCGTGACGCCTTAATTTGAATGTTATAAAGTAGAATCAAAATGAGGGAATGAAGTTTCTATTGCAGTTTCTATGCAATTCCTGGAACTGTAATCATTTTTATTAGATTAGCAGTCAACACAGAATTTTACAAAAAACTTGTAGGGTTGTTTCATTTATTCATTCATTTTCCTTCAATTTAGTCCCTGATTATTAGGAGTCCCACACCAACACGGGGATAACATGCAAACTTCACACAGAAATGCCAACTGGCCCAGCTGAGACTCAAACCAGCGACCTTCTACCTACAATGCTAACCACAGAGTCACCATGCCACCAGGCTTGATTCAAAGTTCTGAAAATTTTTTTATTACCTTAAAGCTTTGTGGGCAAGGAGAATAAATAAATTAATGACTAATGAACTGATATTGACCTTATTCTAAAATGCGGAAGTGCGCCTGTTTTCGCGATTGTCTTAGAACTTCCGTTTCAGTCGCCTATGGGAGAAATGACAAGGAATAATAAACGGCAAAAAACGGTCAAACTACTTGCTCTACTAACAAATGATTGCATGACTATACAGACCAAGTAGAATAATATAACAAGGAAATATCAGTTTGCAACATCAAACAGCGAAACGAGCAGTTTTTAATGTCTAAAAAGGAATGGAAGTGAATGAGACCGGAAGTCTTGTGCCAAAAAGATTCAAATGGCAGCGCCCACTCGTCTGCGGAGAATAAGGTCAATAGAGAAGTATCGATAATTAAAATACTAAATAATTGTCATTTTAGAACTTAAACATTAGCCACTGTTTTTAAACCACTGGGTTTGGGTTCTGGTCTTAAAATTTTATTAAAAATAAATCAAGTCTGATTTTATTCCAGCCAAACTAAAATAAATAATAAGAAAAAAATTATAGAAAAAAATATCACAGATGGGCTAATAATTTAACTATATAAGAAACTATATATTCATTCATTCATTTTCTTTTCGGCTTAGTCCCTTTATTAATCCAGGGTTGTCACAGCGGAATAAACCAACTTACCCAGCATATGTTTTACACAGCGGATGCCCTTCCAACTGCAACCCATCTCTGGGAAACATCCATACACACTCATTCACAGTCATACACAACAGACAATTTAGCCTACCCAATTCACCTGTACCGCATGACTTTGGACTGTGGGGGAAACCGGAGCACCCGGAGGAAACCTACAGGAACAAGGGGAGAACATGCAAACTCCACACAGATACACCAACTAACCCAGCCACGGCTCGAACCATCGACCTTCTTGCTACCTACTGCCCCACTGCGTCGCCCTGAAAATATATGAAAAAAATATAATTTCCCAGAAAGCATTAACATTGTCTGATTTAAGTAAATTAGATCATGATTTAAACATAATTTGGGAAATATTAAAATAAAAAACTGAAAAATTTAAGTGGGGCTAATAATTCTCACTTCAACCACATATGACTGTTTACATTTATATGCTGAACCAGCATTTCATCACAGTACTCTAAAACATTTTCGTTAATTCTCATGTCTGTAGTCTATTTTTTTCATCTCCTTATTTAAGGTTTAGTAAAACAAGTTTAGTCAAAACAAAAGAAAAGACAAAGGTGTAGGATTTCTGACATGAAGTGAAAGACTTCTTTAGATATCTTCGATATGTCCACTGTTTAATAATCGTGCACAATACATACATATAATTGTGTAACTAAAACAAATACAGCTGATTTAATTGTTGTTTATCAAATCACACAACTGTGGTATACAGGATTACTTATCACACCACTGTATTTGTGACATTAAATACTGTGTGTTTCATTCTACAATACTTTTTGTTGTGTTACTATTTAAGTGTGTTCTTTTATTGCTCTGACAATGTAGCTCTGTTTTCTATGGTTCTGTTGACTTTGTTATTTGAACAACAGTGCAGTAGAGCTGTGTATAGTGTTAAGCAGAAGAAAAACCTGTACTGTATTTTATTTATCAAAGATTTTGTGCAGCTGTTATTTGTAAACAGCGAGGGAAACCCCAGTGTTTGAATTATATTTTGCTCAAAAATTGTTTAATAAAGTTTTAAAAAAGGCTTTAACTCTCCAGTAACCATTTATGGGAAAATACCGGACATATATCGTATACTGTCATTCCTCCTAAAAATACAGAGATATGATATTTTGCCATTATCGCCCAGCCCTAATATACATACATACATTGTGTGTGTGTGTATATATATATATATATATATATATATATATATATATATATATATATATATATATATATATATATACACACACACACACACACACACACATATATATACACACATATATATATATATATATATATATATACACATATACATATATATATATATACATATATATATATATATATATATATATATATATATATATATATATATATATATATATATATATATATATATATATATATATACACACACATACATATACACATACATACACACACACACACACACACACACACACACACACACACACACACACGTATACAGTTGAAGTCAGAATTATTAGCCCCGTTTATTTTTTTCTCCCATTTTCTGTTTAATGGAGAGAATATTTTTTTCTACACATTTCTAAACATAATAGTTTTAATGACTCATTTCTAATAACTGATTTATTTTATCTTTGCCATAATGACAGTAAATAATACTGACTAGATATTTTCAAGACGCTTCTATACAGCTTAGTGACATTTAAAAGCTTAATTAGGTTAATTAGGTTAACTAGGCAGGTTAGGGTAATTAGGAAAGTTATTGTATAATGACGGTTTGTTCTGTAGACTATCGAAAAAATCTAGCTTAAAGAGGCTAATAATTTTGACCTTATGGTTTTAAAAAAAAAATGAAAAACTGACTTTATTCTAGCCAAAATAAAACAAATTAGACGTTCTCCAGAAGAAAAAAAAAAATTAAACATATTGTGAAAACATCCTTGCTCTGTTAAACATCTTTTAGGACATAATTAAAAAAGAAAAAAAAATCAAAGGGGGCTATAATTCTGACTTCAACTGTATATTCTGCATGTATTTTTTAAATGAATATAAATAAATTTAAATTCCTATAAAGAAGAGAACTTCATTTCCCAGAATGCATTATCCTTATATTTCTTTTGACTGCATTAAAGTAAATACCTTATTTGGTCATTCCACTCTGAATCTAATTTCTACTTCCTGTGTAGCGTGGCCAATTAGATGTAAATTCACACACTAAAAAGATTTTCCAAATTCTTGCACAATCCTGCTTTTAAGACGGATAACAAATGTTCACGATACGTCCAAAATGTTTGACAGTAAGTTGATCTGTGGTCATTCAGAATAAAATCTACATATTTTAAGATGGGAAATGGGCATAAAATGTCATTTCAACTTGATGTACAATTACAGCTTCATCTTCAGATTACGTAAAAGCTTTTTTGCAGGCTTATTTCAGAAAGCAGGCTGATGCTCCTTTTCATGAGATTTTTGAATGCACTATGCCCCTTACCCACTTGTTTATTTTGACATAATTCTTATTTTGGTTCAGTTTGTGGTGAGGCTGTGCTCTTGGGGATTGAGGTCAAACTGACTGACTCTTTGCCCTGACTCAAATCATTCTCATGGGAAGCGTGCGAGAGAAAGCGCCAATGCCAGAATGATCCTCACGATCACTGGAACTTAAGGGCCCTTTTTTGAAGGTGAAACTTTACACGGAGCTATTCACCTTTCCTTGGGGAAAAGCTCAGCCGGATTGATCTGCTGTTTGTTTTCACACGTTGTGCATAGCTCTCCTTCACTCGAGGGTAGCTGTGTTTTATTGAGCCTCCAACTCAGTTTTATGTGAGGGGCTTGGCAGGATTGACACAGCGCTTTCAGGGTGCGGATCAAGGTTTGTTTCCAGCCTCTATGTAACTCTGACCCTTTGTAATTGCTATGGATCAACTATATTGTAATGGCTTTTAAATGTTATGGAGTTTAATAGAAGAAAACTGGGCGGCTGACATGCAGTGCAACATGCTAAAACTATTATTAATGCAATTTTTACTAGGTTTGACATTTTATGCATGCAGTTTATATGACATGTAATGCGCCAACTGTAGGAAAATGTGAGAAATATAATTTTATTATCACTATTGAATAATAAAAATAACTAGAATTGTACATTTCCTAAAGGAAATGTGAATGGGGTTTGCGTGGCAAATCGATGGGGTACAAAATGGTACTAAACTGGGCAATAGCACTGGAAAGGTAAGAAATGGTGGTTGCTAAGATGTTGCTAGGCGGTTGCTAGGGTGTCCTGAGTGGTTGCTAGGTGGTTGCTAGGGTGTTCTGAGTGGTTGCTAAGAGGTTGCTAAGGTGTTGCTAGGCGGTTGCTAGGGTGTTCTGAGTGGTTGCTAGATGGTTGCTAAGGTGTTGCTAGGTGGTTGCTAAGGTGTCCTAAGTGGTTGATAGGTGGTTGCTAAGGTGTTGCTAGGTGGTTGCTAGGGTATTCTAAGTGGTTGCTAAGGC